AGTTGAAGAGTAGCAATTTACTTTTTTTTTTCTTCTAAGCCTTTTCTTGATTAGCTTTTAAACAGTTGTTCAAATGAAGTACAAATCTCTTTCTGAAAGAGAAAGGGTAACATTGTGTATGTGCTCAGCATGTAACCTGTAAGGATTTGTACTCCCTCAAAATACCCTTCTGTTGAGATAAGTTAACCAATAAAACAAACTTTGTTTTAAAAAGAAACTCCAGTATCTTTCAAAGGTGCAGGAGTTTCTTGGACATGAGGATTTTGTTTATTGTGGCGTTGTGTCCCCAACCCCCTGTTGCCTCGCCTCCCCACAAACTCCTTTAAGGCAGAGATTAAATGGCAGAACTTTGGGCTGGTGGTACAAGTTTCAGGTCCCAGAGGAACACATAACTTCTTGTTGTCAGAGCTCTCTCTAGAACAGCAATGATTTTTCTGTTATTATTTTTATTTGTTTTCATTTTATGTTTACCAGTAAAAAGTGGTCAGATTTCTTCCCTTTGAAGTAAGGTTTATCTTTCTCTTGCTTCTTTTTATTTAATTCTGTGTACTTAGTTTTCTCTGTTGTTCACAAAGATGTTAGGCGTAGACAGATTTTATAAGGGTATCATCTCCATATCTAGGCCAGGAAATTCCAGAAGAAGGGAGGGAGGTGGAAGAATATTCAGAAGAAGAGGAGGAGGAGGAAGAGGACTCAGAGTCTGAAGAGACATCACAGCAACAGCAGCAGCAACAGCTCAGTGAGGAGGCACTTGCAGAGACCGGGTCATCCACTGCGACTTCCCAGGCGCAGCAGCAGCAGCAGAGTGCCCAGGCTGTGCCTCCAGCTCAGATACAGGCACCTCCCATGCCTGGGCCTCCTCCTCTGGGGCCACCTCCAGCCCCTCCACTGAGGCCCCCAGGCCCACCCACCGGCCTTCCTCCTGGCCCTCCACCCGGTGAGTGCTTGGTTTGCCCTGCTCTGAGGGGTGCAGGCTCTCAGGCAGTGCTGTCAGTGAGGGACTCTGGAAGCTGCGCACTGGGTTGCAGATGGAGTATATGTATCCACTTACTGAGACCTGTCTGTCATCAGTCTGCATCATTGTTGCTGTACCTTGCTTTTGAGGCATCAGGCTCCTGTAGCTGTAGCCTTCCTGATGGTTGTCTTTGTTAGAGCCAACACTGGCAGACAGGAGCAGAGCCAGTGTATGAAGTGGAGTAAAAGAGCAAAAGTTCCTCAGTCGAAAAGAAAAATCAAATGCCGCAGAAAAGGGTTTATGGCTATTTAAATTCTAACAAACTCAGCTCAGAAGCTGTTACCAGTTACAACTTAATTATATGGGGAGGAACCCTTTTTCTATTATACACTTTGCTTTCATAAAGATGCTTTAACAGTGCAACTGCTGCCTCTCCTTGAGATTTTTAGAAATTCTATTTAATCTGGCAGCTAGATAATACAGCTTTCATTGGTATGTTGAAGATCTTTATCCTTAGCTGGTGAGAAAGTTGCTGGGACATGTTTTTGACTGTGAATTAAATTTCTTGTTTGTTACACGAACGCTTTCAGGAGCTCCTCCGTTCCTGAGACCTCCGGGGTTACCAGGGTTGCGTGGGCCTTTGCCTCGGCTGCTGCCACCTGGTCCTCCCCCGGGGCGACCGCCTGGTCCTCCCCCAGGCCCCCCACCAGGCCTGCCCCCGGGTCCTCCTCCACGTGGGCCTCCTCCTCGTCTGCCCCCTCCTGCCCCCCCAGGTAAGGGGTTCTGTTTGTCTCAGTGCCGGGTCCCTTCTTGCTTTCTTTTCGCAGTCTTGGCTGTGGTGATCAAGCCACTGAGGCATAATTGGCTGCCAGTTGGCCTTTGTTCCTGGCTGTGGCTGCACTGTGCCGTGTGCTATTACATTGTTCTGTGCAGTAACAAGGAAGTGCTGTGCATAGTTTGGTAGCAAGAAATCTGCCCTGAAAAAAAGGGAATTTCAGAGTTTAAATTTTTACTCTGCTGGACTCTTTCTGAAGAGCATCTGGGTGCTGTAATGGTGTTCCACTAAATGATTTGGAGATCTGAATATTTGTTTGTTGTGCCTGGGTCAGACATTTCTGATGACTCTGAAATTCCAGTGGGATGGATTGTCAAGAAACTTTATTCTCAGATTATAACTTTAAATTTAAAAGGGAGTGATTAAAAAAAAATAAATTTTTAAATGTAAAAGGGAATGATAAAAAGCTTCTGTGGCTTTCAGAGCCTGAAGAGCATCATTTTCAACCCAGCATTTAGTGCAGATTTGAAAACCTTTTTTTTTTGTAAACCAGTGCTGCTGCATCTTGTTGGGGATTATTTCATTTTGCTTTTTGTTCTTGGCATTCTGAGCCTGTGCGTTTTTTTCCTCAAATATGTTGAAATTCCCAGATGTGGAGACAGCTCTCGCTTTCTTCTTCCAGGTATCCCTCCTCCTCGCCCAGGCATGTTACGGCCGCCCCTCGTGCCTCCCTTAGGACCTGCCCCACCCGGGCTGTTCCCACCAGCTCCCATTCCAAACCCTGGGGTGCTGAGCGCCCCGCCCAGCCTGATCCAGCGGCCCAAGGCGGACGACACCAGCGCGGCCACCATCGAGAAGAAGGCCACGGCCACCATCAGCGCCAAGCCGCAGATCACCAACCCCAAGGCAGAGATCACGCGCTTCGTGCCCACCGCGCTGCGCGTGCGCCGTGAGAACAAAGGCGCTGCTGCTGCTTCCCAGAGGAAGCAGGAGGATGAGCCTGCCCTGCCCTTAACCAAAGCTGCCCCTAAGGCTGGCGCGTCCGCCCCTATCTCTGTACAGACAAAGGATGATGTGTATGAAGCCTTCATGAAAGAAATGGAAGGTCTCCTGTGACCTGTCGTAGTCCTGGTCAGCTGTCCTGCCCCTCTGAACACTGTGGAGGGAGAAGAAGGGAAAGTCCTCCTGCAAGCAACGAAAGGGCATGACTGGAAATAGTTCCCTACCCACAGGTTAACTTGCCAGTGTGCTGTGAGCAGAGACCACTGCAGCTGAGGTGTGCCTGGGCACCTCCTTTCAGAGCCACCACGTCCACCTGGGCAAAGGAGATTGCAGTAAAGGAGGCGATGCTGCTCCCCTCAAGTCCTCCCCCTTCCTTAGAGGGGGAGATAATGATGCTCTGGGGACGGGGGTGACTATTCCCTGCCAAAATCCCCAAAATCCTTACACACCCTGAGTGCTCTGGTGAGGGTAGTGGAACAGGTTTTTAAGGAGCCAGAAAAGTGTTAGCAGCATTTCATACACAAGTGGTTGTCCAGTTTTTATTTTCTGTACTGTTTTTTTTTTCTGTAAATATTTTATAATCATGTTTTTTAGTTGCAGTGAGGTTGATCAATCATCTTTCTTCCAGGGTAGTCAGGGAGGTAATTTGTTGCGTATACTGTACACTGGAGTTTTGCATCCTATCCCCTTTATGGTCATCTTGATGGGATTTTGTTGGCTGGGGAAACTTCATTTTGTCTTGTGAAAGACAATAAATGTTCAGTGTATCAAAATACCACTTTCCCTGTGATTTGTGAGAAACTAACAGGCAGCTGGAGAGGGAGGGGGGAGGGTTTTTAGCTCACCTTGGAAGATGATAGAGGCATTCAGAACCTCAGAAAAGTAATAATCACATTATAAATAACATATACTTACTTTTTCCCACTAAGCTTCTGCTATGTTAAGTTCCTAAACATCCCTTTTAACCTTTATTGGTAGTTAGTAAAAACTTAAGTCCTGATATACTACTAATAATTACAAAACAATTTATTTTATATACTCTGATTGGAAGGCTTACTTCATATCAAGCCTCAGATAACTGCTGGGTGCATCATGGACAGGATACCTTAAGTAAAAATTAGCAAATACTTTTAATGTTAAAAGATTGACTGACAATTTTAGTAGTGGCTGGTATTAGGATACCAGACTAGCAGATACCTCAAACAATACATTCAAATTGGCTGTAAGTTTCAGGCTCAGCTGAATGCCCCGTGTTTTGTGCTTAAATTTGCTTTAAGAAGACAAAGTTATTAGTTAACCAAACTTACACTCAAAAACCTTGAATCTGTTTTCACAAATTCTGGACACAAAAATGGTTGCACGGCAGTTTTCTATACCGACAACATGTAAAATTTACATGAGCCCGCCCACCTAATGCATATTGTGTGATGTAACTACACAATCCTTGAAACACGAAATTTTGTTTATTAAGCAACTTCTGTTGTGGAAGTTAGCTGATGACATCAGTTATGTTTACCAAAGTTGAGATTGAAGTCAGATAATTCAGTTTGAAAACACCAATGTGAGTGATTGCAGCAATACTGAAGTAATTTGTCTGTAGGATCAGAGAAACGTCGTGTATTATGTCTCCCTGCCTAGTTTCTACACCTATCAGTAGTGCTGGGGTGTATATGCTCCTACTGAAAGTAAAGCTTCTCTTTTATCATAACAATAACACATTTTTAAAGTAGCCCTGCAGGTTTAAAATACAGGATTATTTCTGAACCGATAGCCATGGCATTGAGCGGGGTTTCGCTGGTTCCGGAGAGGCGGCTGTGCTCCTGTGCTCTTTTGGTCCGGCCGGGCTGTGCTCCCGCGCTCTCCCGGGCCAG